GGCTCCTGGGTCGGGCCGGGGGCTTGGGTGAGGGGCTTGGGGGCGACCTGCGGAAGGCCGGCTCCGTGCACGCTCGGTGGGTCTGGCTCCCCGGCCGCGCCTTGAGTCCGATCCCAGCTGGAAAGGTCACTAAAAGGAAGGGAAGGGGAGGGGGCTTCCCGAGCCCCGCCGCCTGACCCCGGGGATGGACCGCGGGAGGTGGATCCGAAAGACATGGGGCTGGGGGGTGGGGGGACGGCACTTGGTGCGCCGCCTCCTTGTTTGTCTTATTAATAGTTTGGCCTTAATCGTTTCCGTTTTTCTCTCCGGAATAAGCATCTCAAGGTAAGCGCGCCCGGAGACGGCAGATAATTACATTAGGGGGCGCGGGTCTGCCCAGGTCGCAGCCACTTCCTCGTCCCCAGACGCGCAGCGCTGAACCCCTGTGTCCCCGAGGGGCACCTGGGGGGTGTCCTGGGAACCCCGCGGGGAATCTGTTGGCATCAGCATTGAATGAAGCTGGCCCCCGAAACCTGACCCCCACCGAAATCTCTCACGCACGGCGCCCCTAAGAAATGGTCAGGAATAAAACGGATGGCCTGGTTATCTGAAAATTAGGGGGCGCGGAAAGTGGTATTAATGGGGCAAAACCCAGTATGTTTTAAGCCGCTTAGGAGGCAGCTTCAGGTATTGAACAGAACATTCCACAGCCATGACCCGGGGTTTCCCACCAACATTGACTGTGGGCCTGGGCGTTGGATGTTTGCACACAGACAAGGGAAGGAAAGGCTGGATTGAGGTGCACCCCCGCGGTGGTTTGGACTACCCTAAAACCCTCAGTTGAAAATTAGTAAATATAAGGTGAGTAGGAAAGGGGTCCTATCTTGCCTCACACAGACGATGTTTCCTGGCCAAAGTGATAAGAATATTAGCAATCCTGTGTTTCCTTCCAAAAGACCAGTGGTGGCTCCAAGGGTGTAATTGAATTATGACCATAACACTGGGTGAAATTTCCACCTGTTGCAGATTATTCTCTAGGAAAAGGTGTGAAATTGTGCTTTCCTGACCTACAAGTTGACCTCAGGTATACCAGATCCAAACATATAAATGTAACCCTCATTTGTCCGTCAATCCCTCTGTCCTCCAGCAGCTCCCGGCTCTGATCCCAGCACAGTGGCCCCCTCAGGACGAAATGTTGTCCTCTTGCTGCCAACTTAAGGGCAAAGATTGCCTCTCACGGGCCTGGCTTGGGTGGTCGTGTCTCTGTCCCTGTACCAGTCACTGGCAGGTAACAATGTGTGACTAGGCCGGGCTTGAGAAATGTGCCCACCCCTCTCCCAAGGTTGGGGCTACACGGTGCTGGGCTGGCACATTACAGGGCTCTGCAGAGAAAATCAGGGTTCCATTAAGCCTGAAGAAAGTTAAATGCATGCTGGGCAGTTTCTCCACCTGGGTCCCTCACTTGTCCTTGCTCTTGGGAAGGGGTGTGCTCTGCTGTCACTTCTCACATCAGCGTCAGCTGTGTCCAGGATGCCACAGAGAGGCTGTGGTAGTTACGGTCTACTGCTCTGCTCTGCTCTGTTCCTTGAGCCATGGAGGTCGGGTAAGGCTGCAGGTGCAGCTTCTTATGCCCTCCAGGGGAAGAGGAGGTTGCCAGGTCATCTGAAGGTGTTCCTTGATCTCACACAGGAGGCTAGCATCGCCACCCGCCTCCCTGCTCCTCCGTGGTGGAAAGCAGGTTCAGGTCACACTCTATTCCCATGGCTCCTTTCCCCCCTCGCCTGTTCACAGCAGCTGATAAGCAGCAGATGTCTGCAGCTGCGATGGCCCCAGCCATCGAGTTTCCTTTTCATTTTCTACCCTGCTCTCCAGAGGGCGCTCTCCAGAGGAATGCCCTTGATTCTTTCAACAGTCTGTGCACCCGCTTATTTTTCACCTCTTTGGTCTGAGCAGGAGATGGAGTAAGTGTCTATGCAGTTGAGCTGGGTGAAGCTTAATGGCTGTGCGGGCACTTCTCTTCCTCCTCCTCAACAGCCAGGCTCCCCACACCTGTCCTGGTCACTCAGATGGTTTGGGCACAGCCAGCCATTCAGCTTCTTTGCAGCTGTGACCACAAACCATATGGTGATCTCCTGAGATTCAGACAGCGTGAGAATTGATGCCCAGGCCTTTGAATCTGTATCAGTAATGTTCTGGACTATGACTGTCTCCCAGAACTGCTTCCAAACAAGGGATGCCAATATCTGAATCCAGGCATCAAAAAGAAAGCACAGGAATTTACTGAACTCTGAAACCAAATGGGAATTGGGTAAACATTTACAACAATTTTTTAAAAATACTTTGAGCTATTTAAAGGAAATGGTATCCTTTATTGTCTTGGGAACCTCATAGATCCAGACGGTGGGGGGGGGGGGTTTATACAGTGGTTTGTAAATCAACTGATGTGAAGAAACAGGAGTGAATGTCTTTGCACATCTTTTTTTTTTTTAAATATATTTTATTGATTTTTCACAGAGAGGAAGGGAGAGAGACAGAGAGCCAGAAACATTGATGAGAGAGAAATATCGATCAGCTGCCTCCTGCACATCTCCCACCGGGGATGTGCCCGCAACCTAGGCACATGCCCTCGACCGGAATCGAACCAGGGACCCTCCAGTCCGCAGGCCGACGCTCCATCCACTGAGCAAAACCGGTTTCGGCATTTGCACATCTTTTTAAGATGATCGATGCTGCTGTTAAATTATCCTAAAATGAAGCCATGTGGCATTTCAGGTTCCGTCTGAGAGCAAATGGTTCGGAGTCAGCTTCAGGAACTGGCCCGGCCTTCCAGTGCTGGCCTTCCAGGAACAGGCGCTTCCGTGAGGAGCGGTCGGCTCACACTGTCCTCCTCCCTGGATTGTGTGCAAACTGTGTCTTCTGTTTCATTTTGGATTTTCACTCCGTGCTTTCCATTTCCTTTCCTTTCAGTCCTCTCCGGGCAGAGTGGCGGAGGCTGTGAAGGTGGCCATTGACGTTGGGTACCGCCACATTGACTGTGCCCACGTGTACCAGAACGAGAACGAGGTGGGGATGGCCCTTCAGGAGAAGATCAAGGAGCAGGTGGTGAAGCGTGAGGATCTCTTCATCGTCAGCAAGGTGCTGCTCTTGGGAGCCTGGGGGATAGGGTCCTCATTCATGTTATCCATTGGTGGCATCGGGGGCTCTTAATGCAGCTACAGTTATCACTGGGTACGCAGTTCTTCCAGGGAGAACGTTAGACTCGAGGCCATAGGGGGCTCCAGAGCTCGCCCGTCCATGGCTGTCTTGGATGGTCATTCCATGGACCCGTTGGTTAGAGCCCCTTGCCGATGAGGGTGAGGTCGTGAGTTGGTGCTTTCTTTCCAGGGACTTATCTTTAAGGACGGGACTTGGTTCCCATCTACAAACTAGATCTCCACTGCTGGCCACCACCTGGGGGTGAGGCTGGCTGTGAGAGACCGGCTTTGTAGGAACCTAGCCCTGAGAACTCATGTGTCGGGCCCAGGGCAAGTGCTGAGCTGTCCATTCTGTTTTATGCCTTGAGTTTGGTCCTTCTGGGAGGAATCCTGATCTGATTATCCTGCCTTCCTTTGGAAAGTTAGCACCCACACTGCGAAGTGGAGTCTCCTCCGCCACCATGTGTAGCATCACAGTGACATGGGTGGGTCATGGTGAGAGGAGAGAGAATCATCTGGCTTCAAGCCATCTGGCTCCAGCCAGGAAACAGCTTCCTGCGTGGAGTGATAGGCTGTGTTCTCTCGCTGGCTTCAGCTGTGGTCCACGTACCATGAGAAGAACCTGGTGAAAGGAGCCTGCAAGAAGACACTCAGTGACCTGAAGCTGGACTACCTGGACCTCTACCTTATCCACTGGCCCATCAGTTTCAAGGTAAGGGCACGGCTCAGGGGTACCCTGTGGCAGGTGGGGGCCTCCTTTATTAGCAGGTGGAGTGGAACTCGCACAGTGTGTGGTTACTGCTCCGGGGGCAGGCCTCAGGCCAGCAGTAGCGCCATCACCTGGGAGCTTGTTAGCAATCAGTCTCAGGCCCCACCCAAGGCTTCTGCATCCAAACCCAGTGACTCAGCTGCATATTACAGAGTTTGAGGAGTCCTCCCCTGGGTTGGTGGGTGACTGTGTGGTTTACAACCTTGTAACAACCAACATTCCTGCACAGCCCAGGTGTAACCGCTATCCCCGCCCTGCCCAGAGGCATGCGTGCGCGTCCACATTCATACCCTGCACCTGTGTATGTGCGTATTCCTACATTCCACACACATGCCGCATCCTGTGGAGGCTTGGTGAATGTTTATCGGCACTCTAACTCTGTACAGAAGGAGTCTAGCGTTATTATGCCCTTTGCCTTCATTCCAGCTACAGGCTCAGTTTTCTGCTCTGTCAGCCAGATGGAAAGTGTGGCGTTTACTCTATAGATCTATTTTATTGCACTGTGGGATATCCAGGCCTGACTTTCATTGTTTGTGTTTCATGATAAGCCAGCGAGGCTTGGCAAAGCAACGCTTCTTTAGTCTGGTGATCCAGGCAGCACGTGGACCCTGCGAGTTCTGGTCTGAGTCCTCCCTCCATCCACACACTCTAGTCCAGGGGTCCTCAAACTACAGCCCGCGGGCCACATGCGAATACAAATATTGTATTTGTTCCCGTTTTGTTTTTTTACTTCAAAATAAGATATGTGCAGTGTGCATAAGAATTTGTTCATAATCTTTTTTTAAACTATAGTCCGGCCCTCCAACAGTCTGAGGGACAGTGAACTGGCCCCCTGTTTATAAAGTTTGAGGACCCCTGCTCTAGTCCATGGCAGGGTTCCTTTCACTGACCGAGAATTATCCATTTCCATCTAACTGTCAGCTCCGGCCCATCTGATAAACAGTTGTCTGCCTATTCCTTTTTCACACGGACAGATTTGCCCTTGACTATCTTCTAAACACTTAGCCAGCTCTCGTAGTGTAGAATATTTTTAGAACTCTGCTTTCAAAGATGTCACTGCACGTCAGTGAAGGGCTGTTACTGATTGTCTGCGTTTGATTGTCGTGACAGCCCGGGAACGAATTTTTCCCGTTGGATGCGAAAGGCAACGTGATTCCCTCTGACGCCGATTTTGTGGACACATGGGAGGTGAGGCTGTCCCTGCTTTGGCTTTCTTCTTCAGTGCTGGCTTCCTGCTGTCCCTGTGAGTGGACAGGTGTGAGTTCTGCCACTTCTTCTGCCTCTACTTTTGCTCTTCCTGCCTCATTGAAGCCAGCCTGGCTCCTGTCTTGCAGTCTCTTGGCTTCTCCAAGGTCTGACACTGGCGCTGAGTAGTAAGGGCGGGGCTGGTGTAAAACATGCCTCTGACCCTGACCTTCGGAGCACATGTCAGGAGCAAGCAGACCTTCTTTTGTCTTCAGGCCATGGAAGAGCTGGTGGACGAGGGGCTGGTGAAATCTATTGGGATCTCCAACTTCAACCATCTCCAGATCGAGAAGCTCTTAAACAAACCTGGCTTAAAGCATAAGCCGGTGGTTAACCAGGTCAGCATCCAGCAGGGACCTGGTGGGGGCATGGAGGCTTGGTGCCCTCTGATTCTGGTGGTCACGGCTGTTCATGTCACCAGGGAGCGGCCGGGAGGCAAGCTCCTGGGCACTGGCACAGTCCTCACTGACGATTCAGAATGGCAGTGGCACATCGGGGGTGGAACTTGTAGGAGAGAAGGGTTGAGCCTGGCTTGTGATGGCTCCAGGTCTCACGGATGAGCAGCCTGCAGACACTGAGGTCCTCAGACCTGTCACAGCTGATAAGTGGCCAAAGCCAGAGAAACCCTAGGGCCACGGCCACGGCCACGGTGCGCCAGGAACAAGGTTAGCGCTGCTAATGTCGAGGACACTCGCTGGGAAGCGTAGACGTGGTTGCGGCTTATCTGGGAGATAGGACATTGGTTACACAATTTCCTATTGGATGAGGTAGGACTTGGCATGGGGACCTTCCTGAGTGTGCCATCGCCGGTGCCCAGACCTGCATCTGCCTCCTGCTTGCACTTGCAGATCGAGTGCCACCCGTACCTCACTCAGGAGAAGCTGATCCAGTATTGCCAGTCCAAAGGCATTGTGGTGACGGCCTACAGCCCCCTCGGCTCTCCCGACAGGCCCTGGTGAGTCCCCATGGGACCATGTTTTCCTGTCCGTTGGAGAACATTAGAAATGGCTAAAGAGAAGCATTCAGCACCAAGGAAACGGCTCGAGCTGATGTGCAAACCTTCCCAGGAGCCTTTGCTGGGTTTCCTGGTTGGCCTTTCAGGTAGCAAGAGGCCTGCTCTTTCCAGAGGGTTGGGAGTTTGTAACTAAGCTTTGAATCGGGAGGGCACTGGTGGGCCGCCCGGGGAGGCTGACAGGAGTCGGGGTTGGGGTGCCGGCTGCCTTGAGTGGTGGCGCCAACGGTTGCTCACACGGCTCACCTTTCTGTCTCCAGGGCCAAGCCCGAGGACCCTTCCCTGCTGGATGACCCCAGGATCAAAGCCATAGCTGACAAGTACAATAAAACCACAGCCCAGGTACGGCTATGTCCAGGCACTCGTGACTGTCCCCAGGACTTCTGCATCTCTGGTGGCCCCTGTGGGCCGGAGGAGAGGTGGCCGGGCCCCGTCAGGCCCTCCTGGGAGTGTGGCTTGGGGTTCTGGAGTGTGTAGTAGATAGGGACCAGCTGGAAGTGAGAAGACGCCGTGTGGTCTGGGAATAACGGTGCCCGCCCGCTCCCCTCCCAGGCTGCCACGGGGCCAGCAGCTGTTACTGTGAAGGCGCATCTACTCCTAGAGCAGCTTGTTATCAGCTGCACGGGAAACACTGTCTCTTCCCAGTGGGAGCAGCAGCTCCTGATCCGTGAGCTGTCAGTCTCCTGTAGGTGGGACGCCTGGGAGACACGGAAGCGCAAGGCGTGGTGGCTGAGAGCAGGGCTCGGGTCGGATCTTGAGGGCACCCTCCTTGCTGCTGGGTGTGACCCCAGCGTCTCTGTGCCTGGGTTTTATCACTCGAAGTTCTGGGATGTCCCCTTCCGGGTGTGGGTGCATAAGATCAAGTGAGATGATGACAGTTCCTGGTGAACATGCGCACCCACTCGGCACATCTGTCCGCAGGTTCTGATCCGGTTCCCCATGCAGAGGAATCTGGTCGTGATCCCCAAGTCTGTGACCCCAGAACGCATCACCGAGAACTTTCAGGTAAGGCCCGGCTGGTTGCCCTGGTTTTCCTCACTGGAGAGGGGGAGGGCCCTTCAGGGGTCTCGGCCTGTCCCTGGAGTGTGGATGGGACCCACCCTCTGGCAGTCTCGGTGAGAGCCAGCCTCCGTAGCTGCAGCGAGCACACCTGGGACAGGGGCTCCTCCTGGGTGGAGGCCCCGCTTTGGGGTGGGCCCCGTGCCCAATTTGCCTCTGCACTTGCACTCTCCTGTGCCGAAGCTCCTCAGTGACTCAGTGTTGCCCTGAGACATGTTTGTGAGTGACACTGGGGCTGCATCAGGGCGTCATTAGTTGCCTCAGTTTCCCCATCTGTAAAGTAATATCTATTTCAAGAACTGTCATAAAGATTAAATAAGATACATTAGAGGCTTCACACACAATGCTTGGTATGTGAGTAAATGCTCAGGAAACGCTGCTGTGCCGAGGGTGAGTCCCTGGTCTGCAAGGAGCCTACAGGCCAGTCCTGCCCACCTCTCCCAGTCCTGTCCCCCGCTGCCAGTTCTGTCCACCTCTCTCTCAATCCTGCCCCCCTCTGTCAGTCTTGCCCACACTCTAACAGTCCTGCCTATCCCTCTGCCAGTCCTGCCCCCATGCCAGTCCTGCTCCCCTTTGCCAGTCCTGCCCCCCTCTCCCAGTCCTACCCCCCTCTGCCAGTCCTACCCATTCTATGCCAAGACCCCATCTCACAGTGGACTGAGCAGCATGGCTGGCACCAGGGCATCAGGAGGTGGTCTCTGTGGGCCCGGGGAGCACCCCCAGAGCGAATCAGCCTGGCGTCACCCTCCCTGCCTCTCAAACTGGTGCGGGGTCTGGGGGTGAAGCGCTCTGGCGGGGCCTGGTGCCCTGAGCCTCTGCGCTTGCTGAGCAGAGCAGCTCCACTGGGGCCACGCGGCCTCATCTGAGCTTTGGTTTCAGCAGCTGTTTCCACTGCGAGCAGCTGACTCTGCCTGTTCACTGGCCACAGGCTGTGGCAGGACCTGTGCCCTAGGTCCCCTGGGAGAGGGGGCGAGGCCTGTGGAGGGGAGGGCGCTTGTGTCGTAGGAGAGCGTTTCTTCTCACTTCAGATTCTGACTGTTCGAGATAGAGTGGCAAAACAGTGACCCTGTGGGAAACATATCATGTAGAAATGGATGCTTTGTGTCGTGTTGTATACTTTCAAGGTGTTAGAAAAGAAATATTTTGAACTGACAAATCTAGTGCTGACATTTTGTTTGCTGTGTAGTCCTTGCACATTTTGCACAGTTGTAATCACAGAGTCTGCAGCAGACTTCTCGCACGTTCTGTGATCATCCAACGCTCAGGGCCTCCTGGCATGTGCCTGGCCCTCCCCGTCTCACCGGTGCTGCTTAGGGCCTGCCCGCTGGCCTCCGTGCTGGCCATGTCTCCCTGCGGACCGTGGTCTTCGTGCGGACGGTTCTCCTGACGCACCTCTCGCTCTCTGTCAAACCCAATTTGGCCTCGCAGGCCTGCCTCAGACCCTCTGGCCACAGCCTGGTTCCCCGAGTCCTCTGGCCTCCCCAGCACTGTGTGATGTGCCTCTCATACCGGGTGCGGAGAATTCCTCCTGCTGTCACAGCTGTTGTGTTTCCTTTGTAAACGAGGCACACAGTCTTCCCATCACTGTCCCCCCGGTGCTGAGCACAGCAGAAATGCTAGGGAGGGTCTTGAAATGAGCTAAGCGGAGGCCCTGGAAGGGAAGGGCTGTTTTCGATGTTTCATGAACTCCCAGCCGAACCGCGTGCCTGCTCTGAATACGCTGACAGCCAGCTCTCTCCGAGTTCAGCCTCTGCCTCCCCTCACCGCCCAGGGCAGCGTCTCATCAGCGGCCTGCGCAGCGCTGCTGCGGTCTTGGGTTGAGCTTTACTCGCAGAGCTTACTGGATGTTTTCTCTTCTAGGTCTTTGACTTTGAGCTGAGCAGCGAGGATATGGCCACCTTACTGAGCTACAATAGGAACTGGCGGGTCTGTGCCTTGGTGAGGTGAGTGGGTCCCGGGCAGACCAGACTGCAGAACGGAAGCGTAGCTCCCGGCAGCCGTTGCGTCCACGTCCTGTCGCCGTCACGGCCCCATTTGGTGCATCTCCTTGCGTTCTCCTGCATGTGCAGCTGGAACGTTAGCCCTGTGTCAGCCACGGGAAGATGCTGGGACGTCTGCTCTCGTGTCTTCTCATCCCGGCCCAGGTGCACTGTTGCCTGACCCGCAGTCACCCACGTTCTGGCATTTCATTTCCAACTCTTACTGTCAGTGGAAACCAGAGGGGCCCAGGGGCTCCTGCCCCACCTTTGTGGAAGAATTTGCCTGCGGCCCTATCTGATCAGGACGCTAATAAAGGGTGTAGAGGAAGACCGTGGTGCTGGGGCCTGAGATCATCCCAGCTCCGGCACGGATGGGCCACTTGGCTCTGAGATGGTCACTGGACCCTCTGCCTGGCGGTCGCCTGCGGACCTCCAGCCACACATCCGCTGGTCCTTGTATTCCCTGATTCCTCTGAGGAGGTGACGGGGGAGGCTGTTCATTTCCTTCTCCTGCCTGTACAATAAATAAAGTTAGAACTTGTTTTCTTTCAAGAAGAACCATCCCATTTTCCATGCGAGTCTAAGCGCCTCCTCTCGCTATTCTCACTGTCTGACCGCTCTGCCGGTTCCTCTCTGTCTCCTTACTAGTTAGTTACCCTCCTGCACAAAATGTGAACGTTCCCTGAGCCACGTGGGTGGCTAGCTGTCCAGTGCAGGTCTGCCCCCTGGTGGCTTTCGCCGCCCTGGGCACATGTCCCTGGTGTGCATCTTGGTTGGTAACTCTCCTGTCCAGGTGTGAACACGCTTGAGGTCTCACCCTGGCCTCAGACTCAGAACAGGCCACAGAGGTTACCACTGGCAGCCCCCGACCAGGGCGTTTTTGATGTCCCTGTGTGTGTGAATGCTGTGTAATCTTTAGACATTGAAACCATCTTTGGATCTGGTGGGTAAGGGAGAGAAGTGAATCTTTCGCCAGTTTACACCCGTCTGCTTTCAGAACGTCCCTGCTTCCATTCTGTTCCCATCCACCGCTGCCCCCGTAGGGAATCTCTCGGGGCCGGGGCCGATAGGCCACAGTGGTTTTCTATCTGTTTCTTTACACTTAGACTTCCTCCACCCTCTGGCGCTGTTCTAGATTCCACTCTCAGATTAGTCCTTGGGCTACTGATGGTTCATGGGGATGTTTGGGGTCTGAGTGGGGTGGGAGAGGCTGTCCCCAACATGCCCAGGGCACCCAGGGAGCTCTTTCTAACACTACATATTACCTCTGGTGATCATTGTCGTTCTTCGCCTCCGTTGCTAATGGCGGCGTTTATACCTCAGGTTTGATGGGATACAATAAAAAGCAGATCACGGGAACTTTTGAATGGTTCTGAGGATTTAAGTAAGAGTTATATGCCCCACGCGGGTTCACCCTGGGCCTTTCGTGCTCTGCCCGGCCAGTCTTCCCAACGTTTATTGCTGTTACGTTCCCAACACAAGCCTTTGGCCCTGCCGGATGGGACTGGACTGGCAAACACGCCCGCAGCTCTCCATCCCAGTTCCTTTTATCGAATCCTCAGCTGCTCACTGGGCTCCTGAGGGACGGAGCATTTCTGTCTCCCTGTACTCGGAGCACGTCTCTTACGTTGTCATCACCCTCTTAATGTCTGCGACAAGGTGCTCTCCTGTCCTGCCCATTGGATGGAATTATGAGGAAGCAGGAATTGCGTCCTGCTGCCCGGACACCCCAGGCCTGGTGCTGGGCACTGGGAGGGTGGCATCGTCATTCATGAGAGTCCGTGGCAGAGGAGTCTAAGGGTGGGCGGCTGCCCTCAGTGCAGACCCGTGGCCTGCAGCTCAGAGCCGACTTGCTCCTCTCAGGCCTTTATTTCTACCTGTAATGAGACACTCAGCATTTCTGACTTTTGTAATTTATTTTGCTGAAATCTCTTAAAAACCTAATGTGTTCCTCTTTCTCTTGACAGCTGTGCCTCCCACCAGAATTATCCCTTCCATGAAGAGTTTTGAAGCTGTGGGTGCCTGCTCTTCCCCAGGCCACCTGCCGCCGTCTCCTGCCTTGTTCTTCCTTCTTCGTGTACGTAGTGTAGTGCGGCCGTGTCCCTCACCACAGGGCAGGCACCTGCAGTTGCCCAGCCAGGGTGTGGCCAGCCTGGCATTGGGGCCAACGAGCAGTCTCAGTAGATTGGAGTCTCTTCCCGTTTTCTTTGCCCTTCGTGTCCGGGGAAGATGCAACCTCCATACCCTTTCCTGACTAAGTTGAATCTACAAAGTGAAAACTAGTGCCACTAACAATGGGATTTTGGTTGCTTGGAACTGTAGTCCTTTCAGCCAGACTTCTTGCTCAAATAAAAAGAACTTTTGTGAACTTGATGCTGTTCGTTTTGGCTTGGTTTGTTGAAATGATTCATCGCCTCTGTCCTGCTCGACCTTCATACCATCGATCCCCACAAAGCGGGCCATTCAGCTCTGCAGCACCAATGAGGGCTTGGCACCTTTCCTTTTGGTGGGGAACCCTGAGCCCCGTATTTTACCCAGTTAGCCTTAGGGTGATGGGTTTCCTCCGGCTGCACATTGGAGTCAGCTGGGGAGCTGGAAAGGCCGGTGATGTCTGGACCTCGCCCCGGAGACAGGAAGGCAGCCGGGACATCTGGAGTGCGCATGCCCCCTGGGGGTGCTAATGTGCAGGCCCTACGGGAGCCACAGCTTTAGGGCCAAGCCAGGATGTAAACCCACTGGAGATTTCACTTGTGAGGCCTAAGTCCTGTTTACGAGGCAGTGCTCCTCACAAGGAACTGCTTTCATGAGCTTTCCTAGACTAGAGGGAAGAGCATCATACCTGGTGTCTGTCTTAGCTGGGGCTGCCTCACGAAACAGCACAAAAGGGTGCACTGAACAAATTTATTTCTCACGGTTCTGGAGCTGGCAGACCAGGGTGCCCGCCTGGTCAGTTCCCAGAGGGCCACTTCCTGGCCGGTAGACGGCTCCTCCTCACTGTCTTCACGTGACAGAGAAGGATGAAGGCTTTAAAAAGGATTACAAAAATAAGGCCCCCTCCTTTTTTTTTAAACCATTTTTTACTTTTACAAATGTTGCTTTTTTAAAAATTTATTAATAATGTTTCCTTACCCAGAATTAAATTGACGAAGGTGAAGAAAAGGATGGGGTAGACAGTGTTGACCTTCAATGTCATAGAGAAGATGCTTTGCTGCTCACACTTTACCGGGGGACCACAGCCCCTAGTTATGAGGTGGCTTAACTGCTTGGCTAATCCATGTGTAAGTGGCTGCTAGGCCTCGCTCAGGGATAACAGCATCAGGCCCCTGAGTGGCTGGGATGGAGCCAAACAGACTGAGCGCCCCACCCGATCACCGCCTGGCAGGCCCGCGCCTGGGCCTCTGCCTGGCACCTGGTCCAGTTTCTCCTGCTGGTTAGGCAGGTCCCACCTTATCCCAAGTCAACTGCAAACCTCTCCAGTCACCCTCTACACCAAGCATGTCAAACTCAAAGGCCAACACGGGCCAAATAAACAAGGTTTGTTTCTGTGGGCCGCAAAAAAACAAAAGCTTCAATTTTCATAGAAACGTAGGTTTATTTCAATAGAGACGTGCTGAATACAAAGGGCTAAAGTAAATGAGTAATCGTTAACATAAAATAATAGAACATTTTAATAACACTGATTAATTGCACAAAATAAGTGTAATGCAAATAAACCTATTTTTCTTGTTCTCCAAAAGCAAAATATTTCCTGTTGTGCACACCAAACAAGTCAGTCCAAGACTAATGACATGGCAATCAGCTGCTAAAATATTCGCTGCTAGTATTAGTGGAGAGAAATGGTGCACCTGCGCATAGGCGCGTAGGGAAATGAATGCAACACAATTATAGTAATCAGTCGTTAGCGAACGTTGTAGTTTGTTAATAATTATGTATACCAGGATATTGTAAAAATTAAGTTACGAAATTTTTATTAAAATGTTTCTTGCATATCGTTATATTGGCTAGATCCCCAAAATACTCCTTGTTGGCCGCATTCGGCCTGCAGGCCGCGAGTTTGACATGCTTGCTCTACATCATCGAGAGCAGACTACTGTTTCATTGTGCTAGGTTAACGCCACTGTAACCTAGTCCCTACCCTTGTTTCTCAGTCCAGAATCGGCTAAACACACTTTTGGAAAACTTCTAGTCCCTAGAAAGAGTTTTAAAGTCAGCTGCCTGCCATTTGGATCCCTGAATAAAAACATATCAAACAAGACTTGAACAGTCAGCCAGAAGCACCAACAAGATAAAAGGCCCTGCGCTAGCCTGGTCTACGCTCTCCCAGAGACTGAGATGATATCTGGGAGCCTCGCCTGGGGACAGGGACGGGGGAGGAGGAAATCAAGGCCTCCCACAAAGGATCGCTCTGCACTTTGAAGATAAAATAGGAATCTAGGCGGCAGCCTGTGTTCCCAGGAGCGGGCGGGGGCCTGGCGCCGTGGTGCTGGCCTGTGGCGGGAGGGAGCACGGGTGAGGCTGCGGGCTCCGTGGGGCCAGCTTCACGCCACTGCTAACGATTGATCTGAGCGATTGATCTGAGCTGGAGCAGAGACGCGGGAGGTCTCCATAGAAAGAGGCCGCTTTCCCCACGGACAGCTCGTTCCTCCTTCCCTTTTAGAAATAAAATCCCATACCTTCTGGGGCAGGTCCCCACGCAGCCTCACGGCTCAAGTGGAGTCACTCTGAAACAGTAAAATACAGAAGGCATCGTGAAACTGCTGGAATTTTACCAAAACAGAGTTCCGGCCAAGAATTAACAAGATAACGAGACCAATTGAAAGACGGAACTAAATGTTATTGAGTCGCAGGGGCAGTTAAAACCTGCTCTTGACAAGTCTCTCTGAACAACGCTGCAGTAGACTTGATCTCACACAGCGCAGGTTCTGAGGTCCGATTTCATGCCAAGAGGTTTCTCAGAACTGAGGCCTCTGTTTTAGTGTGTTGTCCGAGGTGCTCGCTAAGGGAGGCGGTCATTCCAGGCCCATGGGCGGTGCCCAGCCAGGAGGTGCACAACCCAGGCAGGGGGCTATTCCTAGAGGGACTGTCACTGGAAGGTCATGGCTCTCTGGGACCCAGCGCCAGGTCACAGCTACTCTTTCATCCTTTGAAGGCATTTGCTAGCTGTGCTCTAAGGAAGACCTTGGTCTCCGGTACCTGGAACCTTCCTGTTCGTCTCCGGAGTTGGGCTTCTCAGGTCCTCCTGCAGCCCAACTCCCAGCTTAGCCAGGGGGAGCACCAGTATCTGTTTTCCTTGCCCTTCTGCCCACAGAGCCAGTGCCTGGGCACAGACAAGGCTCCCAGTGTGAACTACCAAGTGAAGGAATGAAGAGCTTTTCTTATGAGTAACTAGTAAAACCTCCCGGTGTGAAGTCAATATGTTTCAGACCCAAAGAGGGGCTGCCCGGTTCTGAACAGTGGCCTAAAATACATGAAAGGGTGGCAAAGGGTTGTGCACTTATAGACAGGCTGGGTCTGCATTGCAACTCCGCCCTTTCCTTTCCTAACCATGACTCTGGAGAAATATCTACCCTCCCGGCCTTCATTTCCTCAATCTCTAAAATGCCTGGGTCCTAGCGGTCACGAGGGTTAATGAGATCACAGATGGAAAACCCCTATCCCAGACCTTGCACGCAGCAAGCAGTACATGCTCATTGCCCTATCCAGGTAGCTCAGTTGGTTAGAACATTGCCCCAATATGCCAAAATTGGGGGTTCGATAAGTGGAATAACAAATCTCTCTCTCTCTCTCTCTCTCTCTCTCTCTCTCTCTCTCTTCCCCTATATCTCTCTCTCTCAAAAATCAATTAAAAATGCCTATTAAACACTTAGAAAGAACTGTTTTTTCTAAACAAAATATAACAAGTCTGCCTAAATTACTCACTTGCTTTCAAAATGCTCACACTTTTCTTAGATCAAGCAAACAAAATAATCAGCAAGGATTCAGATTTGAATGGCATCATCTCTAATCTTATTTGTAGAGAATACATATTTCTAAACCATGTGGGATATTTATGAAAACCAATGATATGCTAGCAGCTAGGCCAAAGTGCTTTCCTCAACAAATTTCAATGACTTGATGTCTTATGGATTGTATTCTTAGACCATCATTTTAAAAAACTATAAAATGTTAACAAAAAAATTAACTACAAACTGCCCAATCTCCCACATATATATTTGGAAATTTAAGAAGACTAAAAAAACAATTTAAGGATTAAAAAATAACATGAAACATTATATATGGCACTTATTAATTATAAAATAATTATGTCCTAAGTAATATTTTATGAGTTTGATATACATTTTTAATCCTCTAGACAACTCTTTGAGGTTGGTCCTACTATTGTTCCATTCCAGATGAAGAAACTGGGGCACGCAGAGGATGAACAAGCTGCCAGGGTCCTGGGAAAGTGTGGAGGGGGTCTCCTTAGTCTGCACTCTCGCTCATGGGCTGCCTCCTACGATAAAGCAGAAAGCACATGAGGAAAGGCAAACATAGGACATCTGGAAGGCAGCCAAAGCAGTGCTTAGGAACCTTATCACTTACAGTCATATAACCACTAACAAGGCTGAATAACTAGTTAAAAATCTTGCCACAAAGAAAATGCCAGACCCATAATGACTTCATGGGAGCTCTGTTACATATCACAACATTCTAGGTACAGACAATGCCAATCCTCACCTGCTCTTCCAGCGAACAGAGCATTGATGTGCCCTTGCTCATTATTTTGTTTGCTTGACCTAAGAAAAGTGTGAGCATTTTGAAAGCAAGTGAGTAGTCTAGGGCCAGTGGTTGGCAAACTCATTAGTTAACAGAGCCAAATATCAACAGTACAACGATTGAAATTTCTTTTGAGAGCCAAATTTTTTAAACTTAAACTATATAGGTAGGTACATTGTTATTAACTTAATTAGGGTACTCCTAAGGCTTAGGGAGAGCCACACTCAAGGGGCCAAAGAGCCGCATGTGGCTCGAGAGCCGCAGTTTGCCGACCACGGGCTAGGCATTTCATAGTCATTTCATGCAGCCAGCACAACTTTTACACTAAAATCGCGAGGGGAGTTCAAGACAAGAAAATTACAGACGGGTCTCACTGAAGAACATTTATGCAAAAATCCAAAATGAAATATACTTAGTCACATTCATAACATATAAAAGAGCGATAATGTGACTTTATCACAGAAATGCAGTGTTGACAACGTTAAAAAATTATTCACGTCATCTACCATATTAATACATTAAAGGTGTAGGTATGCATTCAAATAGGAAAATATTTGATAAGATTCAAAATTGTTTTTGATAAAAATCTTTTTATCCTTTTATGATAAAAATCTTCG